CCCCATCTCTTCGAATCTGGAGAGAATGTAGTTGAAGGTAATAATTCTCTTCTTAGTACTCCTTGAATTATCGAGTAAGCATGTGTTAATTGTTTTGCTTGTTGAGTGTTGAACTTGATGTTACCATCCTTAGCATAGTGAAATAAAGCTCAATCGAGGACGAATGTTCCCAAGGGGGAGATATTATAACATCTCGCACCTAGAAACAACTATAAATATTTTAAAATATGAAAATATTGATTTTTGGAAAGAATAAGGAAATCTGGAAATTTTGTCTAAGTTAAGAAAGTGAGTTTTGGTCATTTTCAAACGGCCATAACTCCTATATCATGAGGATTTAGGAGAATATCTTGATATGGTTGGAGATCCCTTGGAGATATCTTTCCAACGCCGCCGAGATTGCACGATTTCGACATCGTATGAGTAAAATATGTCTTTCGGAAGTTGGACTATTGGATTGAGGAAAGTCCCAATCCGGATTTAGGGAATGGCAAACTAGTCTTTTCTCTAAGTTATTTCCTAATTTGATTTTAGGGATTTATTGGGGTAAAAACATGACTTAGTCAATTTGGAGAATTGAGAAATACGCTTAGGGCTTGGAGAGGAGAGAAAAAAAGAAGAAGAAAGGGAGAAAAAGGCAAGAATTCATCAAGATCGGTCAAGCTTTGCGAGTGGAATTCGTCGGAGGTGATCCCTATTAAGGTATGTGAGATTTGTTTCATGTTGGTTTAGTTCACCCACACACTAATTTGTTTCAATTCAGCGAAATTGGAGTTGTTTGAATGTTAAGAAAGTGAAGTTCTTGAAGAACATTGTTGAATTCTTGTGGGTTGATTGTTGAATGCCTAGTGTTGAATTGATTCATGTTTCCGGGTTGTTTTTCGAGTTAGATTGGTTGTATATTGAGGGTACAACTGATCCTAGGGTTTGGGAAGTATCATGGAAGTTTGGAGGGTTTAGAGATGAAAACGGAGGAGAAAAGTCGAGAACACCTGGGTACAGGGGGTGGGGCGTTGCACCTCTCAGCGCACCCCAAAATGTTCTCTGAGGTTTGGCTAACACCTGGGTACATGGGTTGGGGTGTCGCGCCTCTCAGCGCGCCCCAAAATGTTCTCTGAGGTTTGGCCTCTAGCACGTCGACCCAGCCAGAGCGCCCCACCCAGCTCTCTGAGGTTTGGGGCCTGGCGCCCCACGCCTCTCAGAGCGCCAGGGTCACCAGTTCTCCCCATTTGTTCCCCACCTTCTTGTACGTGTTCCTAAGTGATGTACCTATATTTCCTAGTCGATTCCAACACTCTTAAAGTACATCTAAACATCATGAAATCATCCATAAACATGAAATCATGAACCTTGAATCCATAATTCAATTCAAGGAAAGTTAAGTTCAAAGTCAAAGAAGTTAAGAGTCAAGTCTAGAAGTTAAGAAGTAAGTCAAAGCAAAGTTTCTCAAAGTTCTCAAGGGTCTTTAATAATGTTTTAACGTCATTTTTAAGACTTAAGTTTTGAAGTTAAGCAAGAGTAAAGCTATGGTTTGAAGTTCTTTTCTTCAAAGAGGTATATAGGGACTACGTATTCCCAAAGAAGTTTAAAAGAAATGTTTTCACATTTAAACAAGATTGGAAATTGAGATTTCCAAAGAGCCTTCGGGCTAGTTTTCAGAAAACAGAAATTGCTTCCTAAATGAAACAAGAAGGGAAACTTTGATTTCCAAGATAGCCTTTGAGCTAAGTTTTTGAGCACTAATCTCAAATCACAGAGGAAATATGTTTTAAAAACATAAGAGCCAGTACATTTTTGGGAGTAGTATTGAGCACCGAATTGGGGGAGCGTTCAAAGAACCCACAGCCCCCATAGAACCATGTAGCCATCATGGGTAGAAGAGGTTCATACTTTTTAGATGAATCCTTTTTCAAATTAGACTAGCGGATCCATTAGGCAGTTCAGATTTTGTACCTTTGGCTGGGTATAGAATGCTCTGGCAGCGTGAGGTTGATCATTCTATCATCACTATAGCTCTTATGTGATGGTTGTCGTTTAGAGAAACTCCCACAACAGTTATTGTATTTCTATATACATTAGTTCATTCGTATTTCTACATACATTTCAGATTTATTGTATCTTTGCATACACACAGAGTTTATATCATGTTTTAAACAGTTTTTCTTTATATTGCACTTGCTTTAAATTGCTTTATATTGAAATGAGTCAGTCAGGTTGAGTTGAGTGAGCCAGGTAAGTTATTTAGTTTCTTTCAGATTCCTTCTAGCCTATGTGTGGTTTAGCATTCCAACTCGCATACTCGTACATTCAATGTACTAATGCCAGTTGGCCTGCATCTTATTATGATGCAGACGCATGTAACAAGGATCAGCATCCAGCACCTCGTTGATCCAGTTGAGCAGCTCAGAGTCAGTGGTGAGCCTCCTTGCGTTCTGGAGGACTCTTTTATTCGCTTTCAGTCTTTCATTTATTAGGATGTTGTGGGGTTTGTCACAACATCCATCTCAGAATTTTAGAGGCTTCATAGACAGTCAGATAGTTATTAGTTCAGATGTCTTTCTTTATCTTTCAGATGTTGTTTAAGACTTAAGTGCCATTTTGGCCAACTTATTATTCTTTAAGTTATTATTTGTGATTGTTTCATTGAGTTAAGTCTTCCGCTGAGTTAAGTAAGCCAGGCCAAGGGTTCGCTTGGGGCCAAAAATGGTCTCTGAGTGTCAGTCCCGCCTAGAGTGTAGGCTCGGGGCGTGACAATAAAAACATGAGATTAACTCAATTCATGCACAAAATATCATAAATTAATCAATTAAATCAATAATTAAGAGAACCCATAACATAGAATAAAAATCCTAACTCAATTAGGGATTTCTAACTTTGAAAATTGGAGAATTTAGGAACTCTATGAATGGAAGGAATCGATTGATGAAAATTATCATACCTCAATGCCAATTGCTCAACTTCAATGGAGGAATTGGAGACTTGGCTTGAAACTCTAGGTTGAATCCTTCTTCTTCAAGTTTTCTAGAGAGAAATATTTTGGGAGAGAAAGACTTGCTCTTCTTTTGGTGAATGAGAAGAGAATGAATAAAAATGTGTTATTTTGGAGTTAAAATCACTTATATATGGGGTTCTAGGTAAGGGCAAAACGACATAGTATCAAGATAAAATAATTAGGAAAAGACTCAGCTGTCACTGAATTACAGCTGATGCGAACCCCTAGATGGTGGCCCTCACAAGCCGTCAAGGACTTCACAGGCCGTGGTGGCAATCATGGTCCTTACCAGTGGCCTGGGGAGATGTTCCTTGTGGCATTGCCCCTTCACGACCAACCTAACGAACCGTTTGGCTCTTCACGACCCGTCTAGGGGCTCGTGGGAGGAGGCTGACCTTGGGGAGGATTCTGCCTACCCTTCACGGGCACCACCACGAGCCATGGTGCCCTTCACAACCCGTGAAGGGTACCATGGCTCAAGTTTGGTCTGGTGATCCCCCATTTGGCCCCTTTTCTAGACTTCTTGATTTCGAGGTGTTACATTATCTTCCTCTTGGGAACATTCGTCCTCGAATGGGATCTAGACATCACATGAAGGAAAAGAACTCAAATCTAGCAGCCCAATCATGCACACAATCACATAAATGCACATATCCGAGAAGGAAACATCAACTCCAATCTAAAGCATGTTCAAAGCATCATATCATGAAGTCTATATGCAACTCAAACTCAAATGCACATAAACATGTAGAAATCAAATCAAGTTGACTCATTTTCTCAAAACTTAAGCTTTTTCATGAACATGCATTAATGAGTAAATCATGGGAATACCTAAGACTCATGACACCAAAGAGTAAACCATGAGGAACTCAATACCTCAAGCTAGAGTAGTAGTAGAAGGAAAGCGATGAGGATAACGGGACATCATATCAACCTTAATAATACAAATACAGTATATGATACTAATTTAATATTATTTAAGTGAAAATTATCAGTCTTAATGAATGGGAGGTATGGACTATAATTATTTATGAGATAATGAGTATTTCAGAAATTACTTTGAATTTAAGTATAAATTTGTAATTATTTTGAATTTTATGGCCCATTTACTTAGTTTCTTTTTAAAAAAGAAGAAGATAATTTACTAATATATATGATAGTGATGTTTATGTTATTGCTGTGCTAGTTGGCCTACTTTTTGTCTTACAATTGATAAGTTGAATTAGAAATACAACATCTGTCAATATGCACCTCACCCCGTATCATTCCTAGCATCAATCATATATTTACAATAATTGCTTATACAATTTTTTTTAATAATAATCAAATAAGAAATCCAATCCATATACACGTGAATGTTTGACTCTTTTCTACTTGGTGATGATCAATCATCTTTCTTCCTTATATATATATGGCCTAACCTATCGATGACTCTCTAAAGTTGACATAAATTTTCATTTAGACACATTAACTGGATGATGTTCATTTTAAACACCTCATGTAGAGTCTCATTGTGTCATTTTGACACTTCTTTTATAATCAATAAAAATATAGTAGGTGTGTATGCTACACTTACGGTTGACGTGTAAAGTGTTGAATTAAATTTGGACATTTGTCATTTATGTTCAAAATAATTCTTAAACAATGAATTTTAAGTTTAAGAAAAAAAAAATACCCAATGAATGAATGACATGTAGCATTTTACCTAAATAATTTAACTCTTTAAATTTAATTTTTCAGCACTCCATCCACCTCCCCTGCACCCCACATCCCCCCAACCCAACTTCTCCGGCGCTTTTTGCAGAAAACAATCCCAACCCCACGAATTTTCTTATCAAAAATTGATTTGTTTTATCCCAATAATCAAAGTCTTGTGCTAAACATGAGTTCTCCAGTACTAAATATTAGTTTCTTGAATTTTTTTTTAGACCTTTCAATAATCAGAGAGCATCATTGAATGTAGAATCGTAGATCAACTACTAAAAAAAAGGGAAAATGCGATGTGATGTGCGTTCCTCCATCAATACCTATCTCTTTTTAAGTGCTTCAAATTCTAAAAATAAAGGAAGAAGTAAGATATGGATTATTTTTTTTTGTCAAACTAAATTGAGGAGGAAGAAGGGAAAAAAATAAGAAAATGTGTTCAAACTTGAGGAAATTTCTGCTGCTGAAATTCACTGCGTCCTCTGTCACCATCAGATCTGTATTTTCATGGAAGGAGTTTAAGTTTGGGAAGATGGTGGCTGAAAATGGGGAAAAAGATAAAGAAAATAAAATAAAAAATAGTTAAATATGCCTCTCACGCGCATATAATGAGTGTATCATATTCATTGTGTCATGTAAGCAAAAAGTGTTAAAATGATACAGCGGGACCCTACATAAAATGTTTAAATGAACATTGTCCAATTAAAATGTCTAAGTGAAATTTCATGTCAACTTTAGGGGGCCACCGATGAATTTGACTTATATATATTGTATTTATATTTATATGTGACTATACAGTAATATTTGTGATGGCAAAATTAATCTATTAAAATATGGTTCACCTAACATCTTTAAATTCGAATTGGTAATTGACCCATTTATTTGTTATCTTAATCTAATTGAATTTAACTCATTTTAACCCATGAAAAAGTTAGATTGATATGTTATCAAATTAATTTAGGAGAAATCTTATCAAAATACCTTCTTTCTTTTCGATATGATGTTCCATATAATGAATATAATAAAGAAAATTTTAATGTGATTAGGTACTAAAAAAATATACAATAACAGACCAATAAATTATACTTAATAAAAATTTAACAGATTAGTTTATGATTCTTTTGAGCGAATCATTTGCACTTTGCCCCTATTTTCTACTTGTATTGGGGTAAACTCATCGATAACAGGTGCATGGACGACTTAGCTCACACTAACAACAACATCGCCAACGGCTCAAGGTCATTGGTCTTGATATAAATTTTTTATTGACTGAGATCTTTCCATTATAACCTATAAATAATTTTATTTCATTCACTTATAAATGTATTCTAAATCCCTACAATACAATAAACATATACTATTTTCTTGAGCATCAAATTTGTCTTTGCTTTGCTTTATTCCTTGGTAAGTTCTTTCATTCAAAAGCACTCTTGGAGCTTGGACTAAGCTCCTAGATATGCTTGCTAACTCACTGAGACATTTGGATCTATACTTTTTACTCCACTTTATCTCACACTAATTACTTACTTTTTTAGCTATTAATTAATATTCAAATCACTAATAAACGATCCTTAAAAAATTAGTTAAGACACATGCTCTTAGCTTCACATAAATTCAACTGTATCATTTTTTGTTGATAATATTGATCTTTAATTTTTATCCCTCAAGACGAATAACTTTTTCTCATGGCATGAATTTATATTTTCATATCATAATATGCTACAAGTCATATTTTGTATTCTTAAAGAACTTATTTCCTAAGACATAAGTTCGATTGTTAAATAAACCAAATTAAAAATCAGTATTTGAAGAAAATAAATAAATACCAACCTGTTTGATGGACAAATCATGCAATAAAAATCAATAACCTGACATTTATTAATTCAGTAATTTTAGTCCGTCCAAATTCAGCTCACCCCACTTCATATAATATACTATATGTTGTATAGTGGATAATTGTTGATCACATGAATGAAGAATGTATAAACCTACCACTTTGTCTCCAAATAAGACCACAAATTTATGCGTTCCAGACCATATTTTGACAGGGATAATGTTAAAGATCAGTCTCACTATAGTCATTCATTATTATTTTATTGATATGTTAGAGAAAAAAACAATATATTTTTCCATACAAAACAAAAAATACTAAATCTGTGATAAAGGAATTGGGCAAAAACCACTAAAGGAGAGAGGCAAATCTGACTTTCTTTGATCAAGATATGGTTTTTGTATTTCACATCAACATCTTCAATCATTTAATCCATATATGATCTAAGCACATATGTCAGCAAGTTAATTTTATTCTTTTTTAAAAAAATAAAATAAAATTTACTCCAAAATATGTAAAATGAAATAATTTTGTTCACTATTAATAATTGGGGTCGAATATGTCTTTGTTATTACTAATTAGGATCAAAATATACCTCTAAATTATGTGAAATACAATAAATTTGCCCTTCATTAGTAGCTATAAGTCAAATACACTCGTGAATCATCTGAAATAGAATAAATTATTTAATTTTTCAAATGATAAAACTTAAGCATAAATTAATTTTTTTTTTACCTTTTCTTAAACAAAAGATTAATTTGAGCATTTTACATTATTCAAGAATAAATTTAAGCAATATTGCTCCTAATTTTGAATTCTTCATTTTTTTTTCTTCCTTTCTTTTTCTGTTCCACTACCTCTATTAACAATCATATTTGGCGTAGACAGCGATGAGGTGGTGTATATACTGACGTGACATTATGTTATAGAATTTGACCTCATAGGCGGATCCATAATTAAATTTACGGATTTAATAATTAAGATCTAAGATTTTTAGGATTGAAATTATTATGATTTAAAAGTTATGAATTCATATTTAATATGTATTTATTATAATTTTAATAAATTTTAAACTATATTTATATCGTGCATTAAAAATATGAGTTAAGATGAAAAACAATAACTCTATTATTTTGCACGTCTACAGAGAGAGAAGTACTGAACTTCAATCGAAAGAAAGAGCAATCAACTGTATTTCTAACTCATGCCCCAGAAATTCTTGGAGGGTACAAGCTAATATTTTACTAGAACAAAAGCTAGCAAAAAACGTAGAGCGTGCATGCTACGCTCTCCCTTCATTCCATCTGTGAAGCTGTGACCGTGAAGCGAGAAAAAAAAGCGTAATTCCCTGATGTCATAGGATTTTGAACGACTAAACAATTACTTCCAACGGCACCGAAATATTGACCCATGATAGGAGTCCTACGCATATTCCAAAGGCGCTACTTCAATTTCAAACTCAAGCCTCCTTTTACGGTATAACTTAAAACATCTATAAGCAAAATATCAAAGTAGTTGTGGAAATAATACGCTTTGGTTATAGCTTTTATATATTTAGACTAGCACCGATAATTAAATTTGATTATAAAATTTCATGAAACACAAATCTAAAATAATCAAACTTTAATGGGTTATCATACCAGATGAAAGAAGACAAAAATGACAAAGCTATGTGGAAACGCAGTTAATATCTGCAGATGACCTATGCATATTTCCTCTGTTGGACTTAATGGTTGACATCTGTCTGTAATAGATCTATCTATTTATTTAAATAAAATAAAAGTGCCTCAACAGAAAATTTTGTGTATATATATATATATATATATATAGCATATTTAGTCTCCGAACTATAATGATAATTTGTGTATTTATGAAATATAATAATTATTATATTTTATTTATATTATATAAGTAAAATATATTGTATTCGTATATTTATGTTATAATTATGTGTATATATAATATACGTGTTTTCGTACCTATATAATATCTTTGTATTAAAATATAATGTGTGCACATAATAATAATAATGAAATATATTGCATCGAGACTTAATAAGTACAACCAATATTTTTTTATTTTATTTTTTGAGAAAGGTAACAAAGTACAACCAATATCTTGGCCGAATTATATTCGCACAATAATGAATATATCCATGTTCACTTTCCCAATTATAAATAATTAGCTTAACAAGAATAGAATAGAGTAGGGTGTATATGGTCGGGTTTGTTCGGATTTTTTAAATATTTAATTAAATTATTTGTGTACAATTTTTTAATTTATAAATCAAATCAAATTAATAAACTTTGATTTATTTTTCTTCAGGTTTTTCCAATAAAGTATTCATACAAACATATGATTAACTTGTACTCCAAATATTATTTCTTTAGTCCTATAAAAATATAACTATCTAAGGTGTTTCTTAAGAAAGTAACACAAAATATGAGATGAGTGATGACTCTAAAATATTCATCAAAAATAATAATAAATATCATAAAATAAATATGGCAAATTAATAAGTCATAATGAGAATAACCATAATTTAAAAGTATTAAACCATGCTAAAATAAGTCTAATAAGTAATAATTACATGATTAAACATCAAAGAAAACTTAAAATTAGGATGTAAAACTAAAGAACAAATATTCAACATTATTGTCATTCTTAGTGTTGAATTAATTTTTTTGGTAGCATTAGTATTGATTTGGGTTTTATTAGAGTAACTAATATATATGACCTTTATTGGACCATTCAAAATTCTAAGTCTCAAAAACTTGAAATAATATGTTAAAAGATAAAATTTGTGAAATAGTATAAGAAATATTTAGAACTTACATCAAACTAAATACTTTTATGTATAAAATAACTTTTAAAAATTATATATACTAATGTAGGGTTGATATGATCTCGGGTTAATTTTTTTTTTTTTGTTAAAACCAAATCAGCCCAAGTATAGTCGGATTGTTTTACTCAATATCGAACCAAGTCAAATCAAACCATTGGTCAAACTTTTTTTTTCAATTTGACTTGATTTATAGTTTGATTCGATTTAGTACACCTCTAAAATAGATATTGAAATTTAATGTAATGAGTGTGAAAATTCATAAACCTCTCTAAAATTATTTTTACCCTTTTAATATTACTAGGTGATAAAAATTAAGTTAAAACACAACTGTAACGATCCAAACCGAATTTCGTGAAACTAAGTTGTTCGGGCCTGTACCTTCCCACCATATCGGGAGTAATCCTTCCATAGCAGCGCCGTCACAGTTGATGGGAGCCGCCATGGCGGGATAGTCGGAAAAAAAATTGAAAGACGCAAATTCTTATTTTTTTTCCCTTCCTCCCTTAAGTGCCAAAATAGACGAGTGTAACACCCCATATTTGAAAAGGGGAAAATTTCCATTTTTCAGAAGTTGCAGGTGCCAACCCACGCAGGCCAACCACGACCCGTGGTGGGAACCACAGACCATAGGTGGGGTTCGTGGTTAATCACCTCAGCCTGGCTCAAAAGCCCAGAACCACGGCCTGACTAACAGACTGTTTGTCAGACCACAGTCCGTGGTTGAGGAACCGTACGTCAGGCTAGAATCTTCTGAATCTAGCGATGACTGTGTAGGACGGACTGTAGGTCAGTCCGTCGGTCGTGAGTCGTGGGTGAGGACTGGCAGTTAAGTTCAAGGATAGTTGGGTCTTTTCCTAATTATTTTATTCCCTATTATACGTCGTTTTACCCTTCATTAAGACCCCTATATAAGTATTTTTACCCCCAAATTTCATTCATTCACTTAATTCTTCCAAAATCACAAAAGAAGAACAAATTCCTCTCCCAAAATATCTCTCTCTCTAGAACTTGAAGAAGAAGAATAATTCAACTAAGGTTTCAAGCTAAGGTCTCAATTCCTCCATTGAAAACTAGCATTTGAACTTGAGGTATGATAGTTTTCATCCATGGATTCCTTCCATCAATGGAGTTCCTAAATTCCTCTATTTCAAAAGGTAGAATTCCCCAATTGAGTTAGGGTTTTCTTCAATCATCATGGGTTCTCTTGATTATTGATTTAAATGACTGAATTATGATCTTCTATGCATCAATTGACGAATTACTATGGTTTTATGATGTTTTCCCCTATGAACCCATGTAATCCCCCATGTTTTTGAGTTATGATCATGTGATGTGGGATTTTGAGTATAAGGCAAGTGTTTTATGAAATCAAGCATGTATTGCAAGCTTTACATGAAATTATGATGAAATCCATATCTAACCTATATTTTCAAGTAATGTTGATTGAAAGTGGGTTTTGAACCTCAATTGGTAAATTATGAACTTATGTATGTTCTTATGAAATCTATGCAAATATTTTGAGGGTGCTTTGAGAGTAAAGTGTCAATGATGATGTTGTTGATGTGTTGTGAAAGGATATTCTCATATACACATACTAGCATGATGTGAAAGGTTTTCTTACATAATAAGGATTCTAAGGTTGAAAGGTTTTCTCACCTGCATGAATCAAAGACAAGGAGCTATCCTAATGAAACTAGCTTGGATTGGTTATCCTAGGGTGCCTTTCCATGAATAATGAGAATAAGTAAGAAATGACTATTCTGTGGGAATTATGCTTAGCACCGAGTAGATATTGATGTGAGATGGAAGCTCTCCCGTAGTAAAGGCTGGGTTTCTAGAAGCAATCTCTTGAGATGGAAGCTCTCCCGAGTAGAGGCCGCGTTTCTAGTAGCAATCTCCTTATCTCTTAAACTACGTGCCCCCATAGGATGATTAGCTAGTGGATTCACTTAAGCTAGAAGTCCATGGTTTTACCTTAGGCAAGTAGGATAACCCTTTTCGGTGTGGGAGACACCGGGGGATCATGTTATAGCTCACATGGTCTCTATGTTGGTTACGACTAATTTCGCACAACAAGATGAATAATGAACTAAGGTTACTTCAAAAAGTATCACATATGAGTTCAAAGGTTTTAAAAATGATGTTAGCTTGCATTGACCATGGTTTTATGACTTATGATTTCTAACCCTCTTATATCATGTTTTAGTTTGGTCAATTGCATGTCATGAAATGAAATGTCTCTTTTAGCATGATTTAAATGTTTTTTCATAGCTATCATACTTGGTACATTGATTTGTACTAACACATACTCTTGCCTACATTTTTTCCAAATGTTGGGTCCGAAAGTCAGGGTCGTCAGTTTCGT